CAGACAGACAAAGTCATCAATATCCTTTAGGGTTGTCAAGTCACTTCGAATATCTAACGAAACTCAATTTGTGTAGTCTGACTGAAATTGCAGCCACAAAATTAAATCATATTTCGCTTTCGTCCTTTCCACTTAGTCTGCGGCATTTGTTGCCTTTGGGCCGGCTCTGAGTGTGGCAATTATATTTTTATTGTCTCTGTTGCCGTTGTTGCGCCAGCTGCCAAATTGTCTAGCAAAAATTGTTGTTCGCCACCTCGGGCGGCACTTGGCCAAATGGCTCAGCACCAGAGTGCGTTCAAATCAGGCCAGAATGTCGCCAAATCCACCCAGCTGGCTGACTTGCTAGTTGGCTGGTTGGCTGGATGGAGAAGTCACTTCATGGGAGTTTCAAAAGGTCATGCTCGATGAGTTGAGTACATAGGCATGTAATTTGATTTTGTTTCTTTCGTTCTTTGGTTTTGTTAAAGCAGAGCTTCATCCTATATTCATTTCTAAAGGAAATTATGCTTTTGAAGGACATGGTTATTATTGTTCAAGGAAATTAAAATGATTTGCTTAAGTGTAATGAAGAATTAAAAGATATAAATCTGCTATTAGTACGTATAAAAACTACATTTTACACTCAAATTTAAATATGTTTGTTACTTTCTATCTTGCATATCTCTTATTTGGTCTTGTGTGGCCTTTACATATATCACTCATGATCTCTTTTAGTGCTATCCTTTATTGTTTCACGGACTTCGCTTATTTTACCTATATCTCTTTTCCTCGATATCTTTCATATTCTCTGTCTCTCCGTCACTCGCTCCATCCCAGCATTTCTTTGTATCTCCTTCACTTTCTCTATATTCTTTTTTCAAATTCTCCGCCTCTTTCTTTTATTTCCCTCTTTCTATCTCCCTCTGTCTCTCTCTCTCTCTTCCTCTGTCTCTCTCTCTCTTTGAAATTTCTATCTATCTATCTATCTGCCTGTCCCTCACAAGCACTCGCCCCTCTCTCACTCTTTGAGTAATTATGCTTTACCAAGACTTGTAATAATTAGTTTTCACAAATATAATTAACTAACATTTTCATAATATCGTCTAACACCTTAAATTATATATCTTTAGTCTTTTCCAATTCAATTATTGTGTATATAGTTCCCAGAATTCGATTGATAGTACTTGTACTTAAGACCTACATCAGCTTAACTAAAACTGATTTAAATACACTTCCTTGGTCTGTATGTCTCCCGCTTGAAGGACTTTCACTTGCAAAAAGTTCTGTCTAATCCTCAAGATTAAACAGTGCCCAATATATATACATATAGACACACTTAACTGGTTTTAGCAAGATGCTAGTAATGCTTGGCCATATCTTTGCGCACAGGAGATTGCGTTTATTACAAAGTTGTCGCCATTTGAAATGACTTTATGTGTCGTCCTGGCTTAAGCTGAGAGTCCTTTGGGCGACACACAAACTTGGCTCATTAAATTTTCATTGTTTTAATTTGCGCAACGTGAGCCACAACTTCTCTCTATACACATGTGTGTGTGTGTGTGTGTGCGTGTGGTTAAGTGCTCAGACTCCTTAAACAGCTGTCTATGTGTGTGTCTGTGTGTGTGCGTCTGGCATGTGGAAATTAAGCAGCTTAACATCCAGCAGACCGACGACCAGATTCAAGTAGCTCGACGCTTTGCTTTGGTTTCTTGCCAAAAACTTTGCCACGTTTTACGGCTAATTTGACTAATTTGACTGCTGGGCACAAGCTGCTACCAAGCACCACCAAGCACCAACCACCAAACAGTCGCCACCCGCCCAATGGGTCAGAATATCAATGCCAGTCAATTAGGCTGAACAAATAGCTGGCTATTGAAATAGCTCAAGTTCAAGTGGACAGCAGGAGTAGCTGAAGAATTTTAGAAGATATACATATAATCAATTTAATTTAATTCACTTTCATTCTTCATGCCCTGTTGGAATGTTAGCGAGAGGAGTATATTGGATTTCTGCAGAAGTGATGTCTTAGACATGTTGATTATATGATATAAAATGTACTTACTGTATATACAATATTCTTAAAATGTAGAGTAATCTTTGTGAAGACAAGTTGGACTCAGTGCTAGACTTTACAATCAAAATAAATGTGCATAAAATAATATTTCTATTATATTTAGCCAAGTTAAAACAAAGCAATCTTCTTTACAGGGTATTTAATAGTTAAATTTCAATTGCTATTATTCCATAAATTACATAGCTCATTATAAAGAGAGTTGCTCTAGTAAAAATGAGTCTGCCCAGCGCTGGTCGCACACATAAACCAAATCCACACACAGAGGAGAACAGATGCACTGCGTCCAAGAGAGAAACAGAGAGAGAGAGAGAGAGAGAGTGAGAGATTGATGTGAAAGGATTGTGTGGCCACATGACTGTGGCATACCCGTGGTGCGGTGGGTCAGGGGGGCGTGCCATTTCACTCGCTCAACTCGTTATGCAATTTGCACATCTCGCCTCGTCGCCAGGACCCTTTTGTTGGCTTGCATTGTTTTCGGGCTTTGGCATTGCAAACATTTTGCGCTGCTTTTGTCCCTGTTGCCAATTTATGCGCACTTATGCACGTAGACACACCATCACCATCACACACTTACACATAGACATGCAGAGCCATAGCTGTACAGCAACCACATACACATGTGAGCTGTCCTCCATGATCCTGACGCGTTGTTGACCAAATCAATTTCATGGCTCGCAGGCATTTTTAGTCCCCTGCTGTGCATTGAAATTTTAACTGTCAACATTCAGAGAGTGTGTATAATTTGTGGCTGTGTGTGCGTGTATGTGTGTGGACGTGTAGGTGTATTGTATCACTCTAGCGTTTACCTTTGCCTTGCTCTGGACCAAGTTACTTTCACTTTTTATGTTTTCTTGTCTGCTGCAATTTCACAAAGTATTTTTAGTCTGTACTTTCTATGGTATCTATATCTATATAAACATGTTTATACATGTACAAAAAAGTTTCTTAGGTATTCCATTTCTGTTTCCTTAGCCTTGGCCCTTGGCATTCCAGCAGGCATAGCAATAGATTGAGCTGTAGCAGCTTAAAATATGGGGCCTATGTTTGCAGAACCTATTTAAAGTTTGTTTGTTTTATTTATGTAGTGTGCAAATGCGCGTATCTATATGGAATATCTTTATATCACGTTTTCTTAAATCGAATTATATTTTGTTTGGTTTTTTTTAAAGCACATTTTTGCATTTCTCATGCACCTTTAGACCTTTGGCAGTTTCTTAGCTGTTGCTGGCGCAGAAGCTGCTGCTGTTTGTAAACCATAAAAATTAATAATAAATATATATAGATGGCAGAAACAAGTTTCAAAGCATCACATATATAACCAGATATATAAATCAAATGTGGTTCTTTTGGTGGCGCAGAAAAGGTATATGACACAATATTTGTTGTTGTTAGTGTTTTCGTTGTGTGTTTGGCTTTTGTTTGTTTTTTATTTTTTCTTTTCGGTTCAATATTTTGTTGTTTGCATTGTTTGTAAAATGAAAAAGCGTTGTGATTCTTCTCTTTTTTGTTTCGCCGCCAGTGGCAAAATCCAATTTCTACATTGCTCATACGTCCCGTGCTCGAATCACACGTCGCTCGATTTGCAGCCAAGCTGACTGGGTTCAGTTTTGTTTTTAATCAGTTTTTCCGGCTTGACATGCCCCAGATTCCAGCCACAGATCCCGATAGACAAGTCTTGTTCTCCTTGTTTGGTTATCTGCCCAGTTGACTCTTCAGTTCACGCTGTTCCGCCCTCTGTTCGGCATGTACGGCTAACGTGCATCCGGCGCCACCGAGAGGGCAACATCTCTCCGGCATCATATTTTGCATGGTTCGTTTAACATTCTTTACAACAATGCCACAACAGACAACAAAGCCAAGCTAAGCAGATGCCGCCGACTGTGCTCAACTGCAATAGTCACAGAGATTGCAGCACATAGACATACTACAAATATGTAACTACACTTGGAGAAATGTAGGAATATATAACTGGTACAAATTTCAGAATTTCATGAATCTCTATGCACAATAAACTTCCGAGATATGCAATTTATAAGTAAATTAATTGAAAAATGATTTTTTTTTTAACTTCCATCATACTTATATAAAAATGTACACCTAGAGATTTTCTGAAATAATTAATAAAAAAAAAATAATATAAAAAAAAAAAAAAATTTTTGTTTTATTTTAGGAATAAACAAAAATACTTCAGGTCAATTCATATTGAATTGGGAATCATTTAACAAAAGTTACTTAGTAAGAAACTTGTATATGATTCTATCCCTAGTTTTCTCCGAGTGTTCAATTTCAGTCAGTTTGTCAAAGTCTGCAGCAGCTATAAGCCTTTTTTTTAGCGTATAATATGAAAACTGAAGACTGAAATTGATTTGATTTCATGCTTGGAAATAACTATTTCGGGGTTGAGACAATGAGTCAAAATGTGCTCGGTTTATATGAGATGAGCAGTGGGTTAAGGCAATTGAACAGTGCTGTCCAGCAATAACGTCTGTGCATATATCTTTCTAACTTTATATTTCTTCAAGTATTTTATTATATGCATCTACTTATTATATAAATTTATGTATAAATATGTTAATATATGTACATATATTTATGTATATTTTGCACTGTATATTTTTATATAAATTTTGACATCTCAATGCGAGGTGCAACCACTGTGCACTCTAATGCCATTGTGTGTGTTTTTTATTTCGTTTCTAAACATATTTGCACAGCTGCAATTGCTCCAGCTTGTGCATTGTGCTGCGCCAGCTGTTGTGCCAATATACGCTTTGTCTTAACTGAGTTTTACGGCTTGACTCGCCGCACACAGAGTGCAAGAGCTGAAAAGATGACGCTGCACATGGTTTTTACTATTACCATTACTATATTAAATATTTTACTACTACTACTATATATTTATTATTAATGACTCTCTCTTTCTCTTTCTCTCGCTCTTCTGTTGCAGGTTCCATCATGTTTCATGTGCGCCGCCGTCCGGCAGATTCGCAGCCGCGACGCCGCAAGAAAAAGCCATTGGGCGCTGCAAACGGTGCAAATCACATGTCCGGCGATCGCGAAGGACCCGTCCTTGTCGAAGTGACGCACAGCGGCGATGGGGGTCGACGCATTAAGCTGGGCAGCGATCCGGTCGAGGTTGGGTCAGCGAACACCAATTGCCTGCAGCTCTTCGGTCCCTCCATACAGCCGAGGCATTGTCTCATCTCGCTGCTGGAGGGCGTTTGCACGGTGACGCCTCTGCACACGGACGCGCTGACCTTCGTCAACGGACATCACATTAGCCAGCCAACCATATTGCATGTGAGTAGACATTTTCGTCTTAATTTGTAACTAATTTCGTGCGGTATGAGGTCACAACTAATTAACATGCTGACATGCACTAATTTGTAAACATTTCCTTTTAGTGTGGTTGGCTCTTTATCTTTCTCTCTCTCTCTCTCTCTCTCTCTCTCTCTCTCTCTTTGTCATATGTGGCGTATACGCATTTTATTTGTCTTGCCTTTTTTTTTTTTTTTTTGGCAAAACGACAATGTTTTGTACTTTGCGCTGTCAACCTTGACCCAGTGAAAGTTTCGGCTTTTGTTGCCAGCTTTCCGCTGCTGCTCTTCCTGTTTCAGCATCCTGTTACTCGACCTCCTCCTTCAATTACTACTGCTGCTGCTGCTGCTACAGCTACTGCTGTCTGTTGGCATTTGTCACGCAATTCCATTTCCCATTTACAGCATTTGCCGTACAGGCTTTTCGCATTTTAATGCCCATGTTAATGGTCATGACGACAGTGCAGCAAAACGAAAGAGATTCTCTCGTCCAAATAATATAAGCCAAGTGTCCACTAAAGTACGGCAATTCGTTATTGTAACAGCTAAGAGAAACAGTTGGCAGTAAGCAAAGACATTTTCTAAAGATAAAATAAAAAGGAATTGCCAAAATGAAATCTAGTTGAGACGGGCTTATGCAAGGATAACACGTTAGAGTACAGTTGAAGCACTGCGAATTCAGGGAATATTTATTTCTTGTTTGTTAAGTTAATTGCTAGAGATTGCGAGCAAAAGTTAGTCAAGCATAAAAGTGTTTAAATTTTCAAAATGTTAAATGTTTAATAATCAGTAATTTAATTATTTTAATTTAATTAATAACATTATAAAATCATGTTGCAGATTTTTCATAAAGTCTACCACTTCGATAAACTGCTGAGTATTGAAAAAAAAACTGTTAGTTCTCTTTTCAAGCTTGTGAGCTCTAACAACGATTTTTGTTGGGGAAATTAAATTTTGTTTGTGCATTAAAAATAGGTTTTTTTTATTTTTATTTATTTTTTGATGGGTTTTGTGCTGCACAAGCCTTCGCTGCTCAAGTTCATTATCAGCAGTTGTAGTTCGTTTCTGTGATTTGCCGTAGTCGAGCGCAGGTTTTCGATGCTCAGAACAACAGAAAGAGCGTTTGGGGCGCAGTTGATTTATCTTTTGTTTTGAAAACTTTTTGACGCACACAAAACACAAACAGAATAACAACAACGAAGCGAATTAAGTTGATTCTGCGTTCTCACGCATTTCGCCAAATGCACAACCAACAACAGCAACAACAATAACAGCAACAACAAATTTACTGTGCGCAGTGTAAAAACTTTTCTGACTTTCCGCTTGATGAATTCGAAGCCAAATAAACAAAAGCAAACTTGATGGCGCCCCCATAGCCCATCGACAGAGTCAGGCAGAGACACTGACAGAGACAGAGGCAGAGAAAGAGAGAGAGAGAGAGAGGGAGGGAGGGAGACAGACAGATAGTACCCCCATTCAACCACTTGAGATAAGCCTCAAATGTTGGGCAATAACGTCAAACTGTCTCCAGAGACTCTTGTAGAGATGTGAGGGGGTGGGAGCGAGGGGAGACGTGTGTAAAAGTTAGCTAAACATTAATTTTGTGTAATTCACTGAACAAAATTTATCTTTTACACTCTCTATACACTGTTCGATGTGTCAAGAGAAGCATATAGGTATGTACATGTGCATATATAGAACTTTGATTATAGATTTTCATGTTTACAAGATTTGAGTTTAAAAATTAATATATTACGGGTCAAGAGTAAAAAAGAGCGTGTAATTGAAATGAATTTTTAATTTCTACAGACTTAAAGCAATTGAAGTAAATAAATTAGGAATATTGGAGATGATATACAACATGTTGCGTTAGAGTTTAACAGCCAAAGTTATAGTACTTACAGTCTATTGAAGATTATCAATATAAAAGCTTATATTGATATTACGAGAGGAGGAGTAACATGAGAGGAAAATACAGATACATTTGCTTTAGCTTTAGCTGGAGTTTTAATATATAAATTGTTTTTAATTTTACTTAAAATATAATCATATATAAGCTAATTATCTGTACATATTTCTATAAAATGTGATATCGATATTGTCTGTTATCCATGTCTTCTACTTAATCAAATTATTGGCATTGCCTAAGCTTTCATTCTAGAGTATCTCATAGTCGCTTACTACATTTATTTTTTATCTCAATATGAATTTTTGGGTTGGCATTCAATTGGCAAATTGAATTCAGTTTCGGTTCATTGAACCCAAATAAAAAAAATTCACAAATCTAAAATGGAGAATATTTGCTGAAAAAAATATAAAAAGAAAGAACAGTTTGAAAATGTTTTCAACAATTTTCCCCGATTAAAGAAAAAATGTTCACAAATCGAAATGAACAACAATAGCGCTATTTGACAACAATTGACAAACTGAATGGCTGTGCGCATATGCCTCATCGATTTGAAGGGCATTTGAAAAGGGGGGCGTCTCTATCGATGACACCAAGTTTCGAAACGCCCCACATATTTTCCAATCGGCATTTTCGAATCTTTGCAGTGCCACGGCAACTGTCAATGCGTAAGCACGCGCTGTGATTAAATAGCTGATGTTGTTTTTGTTTTCGTTTTTTAATTAATTATGTTAATCGGTGCATAATTTAATTAAAGTACTTAATCGCCACTGATGCAAAGTGAATTGAATAATGTAATTGAAATGCTTGAAATGCGTGCCACAATTAAACCATATACATTATGCGTGTCTGTCCGTGTTTACAATATGCACAATTAATGGGCACTTAAACTGTCTTTTGCAGAACGGTTCGGTTGTCATGTTCGGACGTGTCGCCTCGTATCGATTCCTGGACTCGCCCACAGATGGACGCTATAATCTGGCCCTCTCGCAATCCCAGCTGGACTCGGCCTGCCTCTACGAAAGGTGAGTGTGCAACGTGTATTTCACAGATATAGATAATCAATGCTGCGCTTTAATTTGTGTGTTGTCTAATTTAATTTTATAAAATTATATTGTGCTTCATGGCTTTTATGAAAGTTCATTAAAGAATTTGAGAGAACAGCGACATTAGTTTAATTGAGAAGCAAACAACCTTAATTTGCTACCTTTTTCAATTTGAGATTTCGATTAAACGAGTTTCTTAAATGAACCAGTAGACAGGTACAGAGATCAGTGATCAGTGATCAATGTTCTTTTTAGTTCAGTTCTTGAATCATACTATTAATGCCGAGCTATTTAAATGAACTATAATTACTATAAGATTTACATATATGATTTTCCAGAGCAATAAGTTCTTTTGAACTATTCTAAGTTCATAGCTCAGAAGGTTCACTTAAGTTATTTAATTTTCATTTACAATAAATTCGTTTGAGCTATTTCGTAATTTTAAAGGACTCTATTAAGTTATCTGCTGTTGATGCACAAGAAGTTCTAGGAAACTTTCTAAGCCTTTTCAACCATAACTTCCATTAAATTTTAATATTAATTTTCAATAAAAACAGATTCGAGCTGTAGCCGAACTAACTGAACTGAACTAGTGAATATAATGATCTATATAGTTAAGGACTCAAGGGTGAATGAATTAAATTGACCTTTAAATTGGATAAGAATTCTCCAGTTTCAATTTCTCTCAAAATTTCTTGCATTCATTTGTCGCATTGATGCGAATTCATTGTGATTCGTTCTTTTTTTTTTAATTTCATATATTTTATGTTGGCGCCTCTTGTGGCTTTTTGTTTTTTACGTGCTGTTTGTTTTTATTGTTTGTGTACAACATTAATCCTGCCATGCACCACACACACACACATACCAACACCAATACACTCACACACACACTCACAAACACCATCGCAACAATAACAAACGTAAAACAACAAATGGGACTTTAGTCGCTCGCCCACGTCTCCGGGCTCTTGGAACGATGAGGATGGAGCACTTAGTTCGGTGAGTAGCTGGATAGCTAGTCGAGAAACAAACGGGAATCAAGCAACTCTATTTCTCTCTTGTTTCATTCAGACGCAGAAGAGCGAATATGAGCATAATCAGCAGCTGAATCAAAGCAACGCTGGCTTCCACAGCAGCTCAGCAGACCCGCACGCGCTCCGAGATGTGGTGGACAGCAAACATGGCAGCCAGGAGCAGCAGCAGCAGCAGCAGCAACAGTTGTCCAACCCTGGTGGCAATTATGATGGTCAAAGCTTAGAAGGTAATCTGGAGAATGAAATCAAGTCCATATCGAGCATGAAATCGAATGGCTCCAACAGTCAGGACAGGTAAGCAAAATGTTGAATGCAGCTTAACAGAAAACTTTCTCAATAAATCTCTTGAAACAGCCAAACTAAATACACTCTCAAAACACACACACATACACAAAGTACACCTTTATGTATCACCTGTGCATTTCATTTATGTTTGTGTGCGCTTGTATTTGATATTTGATATTAAATTTCTTTACATTTAATATTTATATATATTATGTGTATGTGCTCTTTAATATGCGCTGCTTTACTAATATCTATCTATCTATCTATCTTTAACTTGACTTGGCTGAAACCCGCATTTAGATCGCCCAAATTGCCAGGTGCTGGCAGTCATTTGGCCGGCGCCGGCGGCAGCGGCTCGGCAGATGCCCAGGGTCAGGAGCCCATTTTGCCCGCTGTTCTCGAATTTCCCGAAACACATCAGGAGCACTTTCTGCGTCACATCATCACCGAACTGGATGTGAATGTGCCGCACTTCAAGCTGGCGCCCGTCTATTCGCTCTACCTGTGTGCCAGGTAAGTAATTGCTTTTATAACTGTTTGATGTTTGCCTGACCACTTTATCTCTGTATGTGTGCTTTATGTGCTGGATTGCGAGCTTTGCTAACTTTTATTGATGTTTAATATTGCAATATATATAAAGAGATATATCTTTATATATGCATATGAATGAATAATTGACAATAATAATATATAAATATAATGTTAACATATGTTTGTGAATCAATTGTATATTTCAACAGCTGAAGTCGCATTCTTACATCAGTATTAGATAATCCTATTGATTTTGCTTTAGTCTTTGCCAGATTGAATAAGGAAAGAATATGAATTCTTAGCATTTTTTAATGAGTATTTAATTAAAAAATAAATAAATAAAAAATAGCTTTAGTATTTTTGTTCAAACTATGGAAAAGCTAGCCAGCTGTTATGCTTATCAGAACTATCCCAACTCCAATAAGAATCAATTCATGCCAGATTATGCAAGCTTTGTTGGCATTCAGATTATATTTATTTGATAATCAAAGTTTGTTAAGCTAATAGGATTAACTGAGTTGGCAAAAATGCCGCAGCTGAGCAGTTATAATTATAATTATGCAGCAGTAGAGGTAGATTATGAATTTCGTTCTCTTGACATTCGAATTTTGTTTTTAAATATTTAAAACAAGCAATTAGGCTAAATAATATAATTTCAATTAGAACTAGAATATGCCAATTGGAACTAATATCTGGTTTGGCTTCATTTCTTTAATATCAAGTCATTTGTATAGTTTTATAATATAGAGATTCATTTTAAATGCCTTAAGGAAGTTAGCTCAAACAACTTCACAATTAATCTTTAACATTCGCTTATTCACACATCCATTCCAAAAGCTTCATTTCATCTTAGGCCACGTCAGGACTAAGCCATATTGTTGAGATCAACCTGACTAATGTGTGTCCTTTACATGAATTGACTTGGCTGCTCGGAGCAGAGGCTGTCAGTGTGATTCCAATGGCTGAATTCCCCAACTGTGTTTGAGCCAATATCAACAATTCATTATCAATTATGATGATTTATCTCGACTGCTGACCCAATTTGTGCGCTATTAATATTAATGCTGGCGTCTGTCGGCCAGCGGACTGAGTGGGCAGCAGTGGAGGGTTTCGACTGTAAACACAGGAAATTGCAACGCTGTGGCAGCCACACGTTGCCATTGCCCAAACGCCAGTCGATGGCAGCTCGGATGATGCTTGACAAGGCCACAAAAATGTAGAGCGTATGAAATAAATATTTCGAAATTCATGCCAGCCATGAAAAATTCAATCAAATGATACATCCCAGTTTTGAGCCTTCACAATCTTTCCTGTGCAATTTTTGACAGATTTCGGTTGACATTAAATATTAAAGCAATTCGAATCATAAATGTGGGAAAATATGGCACAAACTATGCCGAAAAACTAAGATGTATGTATATATTTTGATAGATAGACAGACAGATGTATAAAAATAGAGCAAGGATTAAAAGTTTGGCGTATAACTGTTTTGTAAACTCCAAAGAATAGTTTGTATCAAGCTTATATAATATAGAAAATAGAGAGATCCTATATAAAAATTTATTAATTAATATCAACTCGATAGCCCTTTGACTCGTACAGAAATGCTATATACTCCACACTGCGCATTACATTACAGGGTATCAGCATCAATAAGTCCCTTCGTTTGACCTTTTTGTAGCTGTTGATTAACATGAAATCCATCGGTTCTCGTTGCAGATATCGCGCCTCCACCCACTATCGTCCTGAGCTGCAGCCCACTGAGCGCGCCCACAAGCTAACCATATTCCTGCATCATGTGGCGAATCTGGTCTATGGTGTTGTGCAGGAGCAGTACACAGATCCACGTATACTCGCATTTTGGATGGCGAACAGTTCGGAGTTTCTGCATTTCCTCAAGTCGGATCGTCACATCAGCGCCTTTAGCGTGCAGGCGCAGGAGGTGCTCGCGGAGGCGGTGCAGACGGCATTTCGTAATCTGGTCAATTGCTTTCGCTTGGAGCTGTCGCAGACTCTGAATCAATTTCTCTCGGAGACGATTGATCATGATTCCGCGGCGGGTCTGGTGCTGACAGTGCTTGGCTCGGCGATGGCTCTGCTGCGGCGCTGTCGCGTGAATGCCGCCTTGACCATTCAGCTGTTCTCGCAGCTCTTCCACTACATCAATGTCATATGTTTCAATACGGTGAGCGGCGCTGGCAGGTGGACTCTAGATAGCCGCCAACAGGCCTCCATTTGCTCAGAACGAATTCAGCATTGATGAGTTTTCTCTCTTTCTCGCTTTCTCACTCATCTCTTAGATTGTGGCCAATTCGCACTTGTGCACCGCAGAGTGGGGCAAGGTGATGACGGAGCGCCTGCAGCTGTTGGAGCTGTGGGCTGAACGTCAGGGCCTGGAGCTGGCTGCTGATTGCCATCTGGCTAAGATCAATCAGTGCGCGCAATTCTTGCAGGCGCCCAAATCCTCTGTGGAGGAGATACAGCAATTGGCCTGCTCCTGCTTTCGGCTCAACTCCTTGCAAATGGGCGCACTGCTGCAGCAGGAGAAGATACCACGCAATCTAGTTGACACGGCCATACGCATGGCCGAATCGGTGGCCGATGAGCTGACGCGTGCCGATGGACGCGAGGTGCGACTGGAGGAATCACCCGAACTGCATTTAGCATTGCTGCTGCCCGACGACGGCTTCAGCTGTGACGTGGTGCGCGGCATACCCACCGGCTTGGTCGACTTTCTGAATCCCCTACAGCAGCAGGGCATGTGCCGGCTGGCTGCACAGCCCACCTCGATTGGACTCTGGACGGTCTATATGCATCAGTTTAATGTGAGTGACTAACGATTATGATTTATCCATAACGAAGAGCGATTGCTAATATTCCCGCTATCGCTTATCCAGCAGGCACGCAGCTCCAGTGCCATGTCGAACAAGCTGCCCCAGCCCGAGGTGCAGCTGATTAAGTTGCACAAGAACAGCAACGGCATGGGCCTGTCCATCGTTGCCGCCAAGGGCGCGGGCCAGGAGCGTCTGGGCATCTACATCAAGAGCGTCGTGCCAGGCGGCGCTGCCGATGCGGATGGCAGGCTACAGGCTGGCGATCAGCTGCTGCGTGTGGACGGACAGAGTCTGATTGGCATCACACAGGAGCGGTGAGTGTAGCGAAAGAGCAAGCCCAGACTCCATCGGTTATTTTATACCCTGTAATAATTGTACCTTTGCAGTGCTGCTGATTATTTGGTGCGCACGGGTCCCGTTGTCAGCTTGGAGGTGGCCAAACAGGGCGCCATTTATCATGGGCTGGCAACGCTGCTGCAGCAGCCCAGTCCCGTTATACAGCGTGGTGAGTAGCTGGAGCTCAGGCCACACCCAACCAATACAAACACAAACACACACATGCATACATACATTAGTCACACTAAACAAGGTGCTGGGTAGCTGCTAAAGAAACAGTATATAATATAATATAATATAAATAAAGAGTACACACTCGACAAACACACACGTATACTCACACACATACACAGACACACTCGAATACATAGAGACACTCATACACAAGATAGAGAATTTGATTCTCGCTCACTGTTGTGTAAGCTAATCCCCCCTATTCCTACGCATTCGCTCTTTAAACATGCTGCCAAAGAACCAACTAGTAGCAGCAGCAACTATTTGCAACTGCAACAACAACAACAACAACACCAACTGCAACAACGTCGCCATTCGTCGTACCAGCAGCAGGCGCGTTTTTACAACAACTCCATATCGGATGATAGTCTGAATCGTAGCCGCCGCGAGTCCTTTGCCTGCATGCGCTCCGTGTCGCCGCCCGTGCGTCGGCTGAGCGCCTCCTGCCTGCAGGAGGAGCTGTGCGCACTGGGCCATCAGTTGCACATTGATCCGAGGTACAGAGACACCCGACCCATCGCCCGCTCGGCCAGCAGTCTGTATCTGTCGAATGAACCAGCTGCTGGTTACTATCAGCCGCCAGTTGCGGCGCCGCATTTCAGTCCCATGCGTCCACTACGCCGCACACCGCCGCCTTCGATCTTTATTGAGGAGTACCAGGATGATCCGGCGCCAGCTGAGCCGGAGGCGCGTAATTCCCAGGAGTCTTTCACCAACTTTGCCAGCTACAGCGATGCCCATCAGCCGCTCAACGAGGAGAGCATTGCCTCCATGGCCGACTCGGGCGACATACCCTTCATAGACGACGAGGAGGAGCAACAACAGCAACCAGCGCTCGATCGGCAGCAGCAACAACGGCCCTGCTTCGCCAGCAGCAGCGGCAGCCATGCCACTCCCTCCTCCACGATAAAGCGCAACCCCGCCGCTGGCTATCGCAAAACGGTTAGCTTTGATCTCGAGCAGCAGCAGCCGCCGAGCGTGGCGCCCAGCATCGATCGCAAGTACCACACCCACGATGCCATCAGCAACTTCGCCATCAGCAACTCCTCGTCGGAGTCGCTGCTCGCCGAGCAGCAGGCGAACGAGCGCATGCCGCTCATACAGAAAATTCGACGGGAGCTAAACACGAAGCGTGCCACCAATTGCTCAGCGGTGGATTACAGCTCCGGTGGCTCCGGCTCCAATAGTCAACGTTCCTCCAGCGAGTCCATTGAGCGAATGCCGCTGCTGCGACAGCAGCAACAGCAACCGCAGCAACCGTCGCCGTGTCGACGTCAGCTGAACGCACAGCGTTCGCATAAAAGGTCAGGGCTCTCTGTCACAGCAGCAACAAGCACAATAACAACAACATCAACAGCAGCAGCAGCAGCTACAGCAGCAACTGTTGTTCCAATAGTCAGCATACAAGTTCCTAGTGACAGTTCCTGTGCTTGTTCCCGCACACAAAATGTACATAAAAGCAATAAATATTGTGCCAGCACAACTCTTAAGCCAAGCACTACTGAATTTTCCAGCAGCAGCAGCAGCAATTACGCCGTAGGCAGCACACGTCGCGCTTCCAGCCATACGAATCTCAGTCCCAGTTTCCTTTCACCCCTTGGCCAGGGCAAGGTGCGCGAAATGGCGGCCTATTTGAATGCCCAGCACAGTTTGATGCCCAGCAGCAAATCCAAATCCAAATCAACATCGGCCCTGGTCGTCGCAGAGCGTCCAAAGCTCACACAGAACGAACAGGGCGACATACTCAAGCAGCTGAGGGAATGGAGTCTGTTTGGCAGCGCGGGCAAGGATTACAATATAGAGCTACCACAGAAGCCGCAGCAGCAGCAGCAGCAGTCGCAGTCGCAGCTGAGCTGTGATTGCCCTTGTTGCGCGCATTGCCGGCCTGCAGCAGCTAACACCAGCAGCAGCAACAGCAACAATGACAACAGCAGCGTTACAGCCACTTTCAAGTGTTATGACAGTTGCCAGGAGGCAGACAAGGAGCCACTTGCTTCCACGCGAGCCCCGCCCCACTCCCAGTCACATGCCCAGTCCTTGGCTTTGGCACGTCAGCTGCCCTGTCGCCGCAGCGTCATGTGCAACAATCGTCAGTCTCATAGCGTGCGACAAATGAAACGCAACAAGCAGCAGCGACAAAAGCAACGCCCCCAACACTTTCAGCATCAGCATCAACAGACCCGCCAGCACCACCATCATCATCAACACCACCACCACCGCCACCACCATCGCCATCATCATCAGCAACAGCAACAGCCACCCGCCTCACCGCCCTCCACAGCCAAATTGCTGCTGTCCTTAGCCAGCAGCAGCAGCAACAGCAACAACGATTGCAACTGCAGCTGCAGCGATGAGGAGAACGATGATGAATCATACTCCTATTCCTGTTCCTCCTCCGATTGCCTGTGCGACAACGATACTAATGCCGATGCTGCAGATGCTGCGGCCGGGCCAGAAACTGGGCAACGAATGGGACCAAATGCAACAACGATTTGCTGCTCCACCCACAGATGACCATCCAAATGTCATGCACCGAGGTTCTACTTCTACTTGTTGTTCTATATTTTGATTTATCTAGTTCAGTTTATATATTTTCATATGTCATTTGATTGCCACGCAATTTGTTATTGATTAGAAATTGAGATAGAAAATTTGTGGATATTTTATTGCTGCTGATATTCAATATAAATATATATTTATTATATATTATTTATATATTGTTAAAGAAAGAAAATGGCATCATCTTTATAATTGCTGTATGTCTGCCCATTTTAGTTAGTCGCTCACTTTTAGAGCTTTTTACTACAGGCAGTCAAACTATATGAATCAAATTGATCTGCTATATTATATAGCTGATAATTCTATATAAAAATCTCCTATATCCTTCAATATATATATTTTACAAGCTTATAAATTGGGCTTTTTTATGGTCTTAATTGATACTTTCTCTATATCTTCTTGAAATTGAACATGTTTAAGAACTTCTGCATTATAGTTCCATAAAATTAATACATATATTGTATAGAATGTCTTTAATATTGCATATTTCCACTTTATATCGTATATATTGTTACATGCAGAGTAATTTAGCTTCGTGCTTTCAACATCCTAAATGTCAGAATATATAATAAAGAAATACATTATAGATATTTATGATATATACACAAGAGTATTTAAATTTGGCTTTGCTTTTAGATTATTGAGCCTTCAGTTCGTTATTCAATTGTAGTTTTCCATTAATATATATAATATTTTATTGTTATATAATATTCTATACAAATACTAAAGTATTATTGTTATATTTAAGGATTTCATTTCGCTTTAACAATTCGTAGGTTTCTCCACTCGACGCTTTTTATTTCAGCCTTTAAAAAATGTTCCTGTTTCTTGTTTTAAAATGTAAAATTAAAAATGCACGTTGTTGTTGTTGTTACCCCATTATTATTATTATTTAAGCTGAATACAATTTATTTACAATCTGTTTTTTATGCGCGCAAGCGACAGCCACATTTGTTGTATTTAAATTATTTATTCGCGCTTTATATTGTCATTTGATTTGATTTGGGTTTTTCATAGCTGTAATTGTAGCTCTAGCTGTAGTTGTATTTGTATTTGTATTTGTGTTTGCATATGTTAATTACATTTTGTATGCACAATGCATTAAAATTGATTACATTTGCTCAAACACACACACACACACTCACACACATCCACACACTCCCACATACGCACATAAATAATGAGTTGGTTGCCTACTCTGATGATTACTAAACCGAATCTATCTATCTATCTCTTTGCCCATCTTTCAACAACTGCACCATTACCCTGTCCTGCAAAACTAATCAAATGGATTATGGTTACGGATCGTCAGGTAATCGCCGCATGTCCGAGCGCGATTTGAGTCGCATGGGCGGGGCCGAGTCGTCCAAGTCATTGGGCGGCATTGGCGGCCCGCTCATCGCCAATAGCCATACGAGTCACAGTCTCAATCAGCACTTAAATCTGAGCAATAGCAACATCAACAGTAGCCAAGCACACAGTCACAACAGCAACAGCAACAGCAACATGGGCAACAGCAACAACATCATGAATCCCTTAGCTGCACACCTATCCTCCAATAGCAAATCGGTGCCGGCCCTGCATCATCACACGGGATCTGGCAACATATGTAAGTGTGTCTGCTAAATCCTACTTCAGTCCGCCCCAAGCACAATTCGCTTGCATCAATGTTGTTTGCTCTTTGCGCTTTGTTCTTTGCTCTAATTGACTTCTCTCTTAACCCTCTACCATCCCTCCTTCGCAGCGCTGGCCAATTCCAAGTCACGGAGCACGCACAGCTTGCATAACAATGGAGGTCAGCCAAATGGCAGTCACACTAATCCCAATCTGAATCCGAATCCGAATGCAAATGGAAATGGCAACGAGCAAGGCTTCTACCAGAATTTAAGCGTGTATCGTGCACAGAATCAAAGTCAACCAATTTTGAACGAACGGTAAGTGGTGCAAATAATTTCAATTTACTAAGATGTATAATAAACTATAGATAAAGTGAGATATATAGAAAGACGAGCAGTTAGAGAACGATCAACTCTGATATAGATTTCAAATTGTGCACTTAGAGAGAGATAAATACTGAAGTTTGTTTCTGATTAATTTATTAAAATAAATGTTAAGGGTATATTAAATCAGATGTGCGATATTAAAATCAGAGTTTGACTTGTAATAGATTTTGTTAAAATATTTTGGGTACAAGTAATCTATGAACGAATCTACAGCTTAACTTGAAATTTAAACAATTTACTGATTTATTCAAGATTTACTACAACTAAAATGCTGTAATGCTTACTATTTAATTTAAAAAAGATAGTAATTGATTTTATATTTATATAAATATAGTATTTTTCTAGTCAGTAGATGCTGCACAGTTACATTAAATAGTTGTGTCATAAATAATCATTGAACTAGTACATCATATGCTACTTGATGCTAATGATTCATGTATATTTAAATATATTATATATATATTATATATCAACTAGCATATAATGTACTAGAATACGAACTATCATTAACTATCGTATGATGTTTATACTAGTCCAATTACAAATGAATATAGCTAGTGATTGATGACTTTAAACTTATCATGTATAGATAATGTATAGCACTTATATATATGTATGTACTACTGAATATTAGAGTGATATAATAACCTTATAGGACTTGAGAACTAGTACGTATCATACAGTTTTAGTCGTCTTTAAAGTCTTTTGTGACAGCAACTGTTGCTACCTCTTGAAGGTGTTGCTCTGTTGTTGCTTTGTTTCAAGTTGATTGCCTTAAAATACAAACTTGAACTTTTATAGGATGACATTACGTTTAAAGAAATTGCTTTGCGGCTTTATACCCATACAAAGTGAATATCAGCTGCTAGAAATGCGACATGTACGTGAGTTGATGTTGTTGTTGTATTATTGTTATTATTGTTATTGTTATTGTCATTGTTATAATTTATGTCGGGCGTGTTTTGTGCGTGTGTTGCTGCTGTACAGGCGCACCTGCAACTGAAGCTCCTGAGCAACAAGAACAAAGAGCACTCTGAACACAAATCACAGTTTATTTCAAATGGCGACACAGACACAAGTTTCTCTAATTAAGAACACGCAGCAAACGCATTTCGGCAACATGACAACAGCAACACATGTGACGCACAACAGCAACAGTTGCTGTCAGAGCAAGCAATATAGATGATATATATACAATATATTTATGTATATAGTATTAACTCTGGTTATTTATTGCTTACAGACCCAGCATGTCTGCACATGCCGCCATGAGCGCCTACAATGGCAATTCCCCGCATGCCGCCACACTGCAACAACAGCAACAACAACAGCAGCAGCAGGCCTCGCCTTACCAACAACATTTGCAGGCCAGCGCTAATCTGCCCAGTCGCCCTGTTTCCGCCTATTATCACAGTCAGCAAAGTGCACAGCAGCAGCTGCAACAGCAACAGCAGCAGCAACAACAGCAGCAACATGCACTGCAACAACAGCAATTCGCACACAGCAGCAGCAATCTAAATGGATTGAACAATCGCGCGAAGAATCAACCAAACTTTCAGCACACGCTGCGCATGCAGCAAATGTTGGCGCCATCCATGCCCAACATCAGCAACATGTACCAGCAGCAGCAGCCGCACCAACAGCAACAACAACAGCAGCAGCAGCAACTGTCCCAGCAGCAGCCGCCTATGAGCGCCAGCCAAAGCATGCAGAATGTGAATGAATTTATGCCGGGCTATCAAAATGGGGGCTTAGACTATCAGCAACATGCGCGACGCAGTCAGCTGCATGAGGCAGCAGCACTCTACGAACTGCAGCAGCAACACCAACAACAGCAGCAACATCAACAGCAACAGCCTTCACCCAACTTTATAACGCTGCCACCAAAGCCCATTGGCAGCTTACAATCCCCAAGCAAGCTAGTAGGTCCACCCAGCACAGCGCCCAAGCCACAGCAACAACAACAACAGCAACAACAACAACAGCAACAACAACAACAGCAGCAGCAACAACTGCAACAACAGCAGCAACAACTGCAACAGCAACAGCAGCGACTGCAGCAACAACAGGCAGGCTATCTGTCGAATCATGTGCTGGGCGAGGATAAGCCGCCATTGCCACCGACAGCCACGCATCCGCTGTTCAAGGCAACGCAGCAGCTGGCGCCGGGCATGAATTATGTGGCCAGCACTTTGGATCCACCGAAAGGCAGCTATTTGCCTGGCAGCCAGTCGTCGGCCCGTTCACTGCACAGCGGCAGCAATCCCTGGGAGCGTGAGGAGCGCGAGAAGGATTTGGAAATGCGACGGGAGCACATCAGGCAATGGCGGGAGCAGCAGATCGCAGAGCTGTCGGCCATACTGGCGCGCAGTCCGCAGCAGGAGGAGCAGCTGAAGACGCTTATACTCGAACGCGACTTTGAGCGGCGTGCACAGGAGCTGCAGGAGCAGGAGGAGGACCAGGATCAGGCCTACGACAAGGACAATGTGCAGGAGCTGTTCCGTTTGTCAGCGAGCGGTCAGGTGCAGGCCAGTGCCATACAAACGCCCATCACCAGCTACCGTCAGACCGAGATCAAGCTGGCCGAGATCGGGGAGAGCAGTCCAGTTGAACCGACAACAACAACAGCAGCAGGACCAACAACAGCAGCAGCAGCAGTGGTAACCTCGACAGCAACAGCCACGCCACCACAGCCACAGCCCAAGAGCATACTGAAGCACAATCGCTATACGGACGGTGGCAGCGGGGGCAGCGCTACGGGTGCGCCCTCTTCGCCTTCCAAGTCTCAGAAATCGGCTAGCTTTGCGGACGAACGGCATCTGCAAACGGAGCATCCCATATCCAGTTTGGCCAAGGAGCTCACACAGCTGAGCATGCTCGACAAGGACAACAACAATGAGACAGCCTTGGATGGGTCAGTGCCACCGCCGCCGCCGCCAGAGCGCAACAGCTCCTATTTGATCATGTCACAGCAAAAGCTGCGCGGTAGCATGGGAGGCAATGCGTCCGCCACGTCTTCGATGGGGCTGCTGAAGACGGCCACCAGCAATCAGGCAGCCGCCGTCGAGGTGAAGAAGGCGACAATGCATGGCATCACAAATAACAACAACAACAACAACAACAACAGCTTAAACAATAACACAATGCAATCATCGCCGCTGAGTGCAATGGAATTGAATGCCGCCTATGTGTCAGCGACGGGCACGGGCACGGGCATGAGCCTGGGCACGCCGCCGCCGTTGCTGCAGCGGGACAACAAACGCGTGAGCTTCCACGACGAGGACAACAACTTGGTGAGCCAGCAACAGCAGCAGCAGCTGCTGCAACAGCAACAGCAGCAATATCTGTTGGATAGCTACGCGCTGGAGAGTCAGGATTTGGAAACCATACGCGAGGATGCGAGCGTAAGTGCCTAATAGAAAGATATTTACAGTAGTGGACGATCGTTAAACATTAATAATTTGCTTATAATTATATCACAGTACATGCAGCACAATGTGGATGTCTCCATGTTGCCCTCGATGCCTGCGACGCCGGATGCGGCGCTCTGGAATACCACAGTGCAATCAACGCCTGGCGTCATAGGCGCCCAGGAGGTGTACAGGTGAGTCGCAATTGTCCGAATATAATAGTACTTCAGCTAACGATCCGTATTGAATACATTAACAGAGACCCTCGAACACGTCGCCTGGCGGAGAAGCAACAACAGCAGCAGCAGCAACGCGCTGGCGATGCGGTGCCTGAGAAGCTGTCGTTCAAGGAGAAAATGAAGATGTTTGCACTGGAATCGGGTGAGGATAATACGCCCAAGGACAAGCTGAAAATATCACGAGCGCAACGAGACATTGATGCAGTTCACTGAGAGCAGTTGACAAATTTATATACATACATGTATATCATAAGAATCCTAAGCAGTAGTACACACCCACACATACACACACATATACCATATCACTCAGTCGAATTGGGGGCCAATAGCGCTATATAACTAAATATATAAATATATATGTATGGACCACACATAGCAAACATATGACAAACCTAACGAATTTGCTTAGCATCCAATAGTTGCATTAGGATCTATATAGATGGACTAGTTGCGTAGTGTGAGTAGTTAAAAAAGAGTTGATATCGTTAACTGAATTCAATTAGTGAAAAGCAAAAATTAGCATATTAAACCATAGTCTACATATACACAATATATACATATATACATACATATACATTCATATACATATACATATATAAAGATATTGAAAGCCTAAACAGGGCAACGAAAGTTGGGCGAGCCACATTTGTAAAGCAAAATGCGAATATATATATATATGTGCACATATAAAATATAAATCTATATATATTTACAAACTGTTGCATCAAATGGAAATATTTAGTATTTACTTTTATCGATAGACATGTAAATGAGGATGTGCGTTAGTTTAGATACATTTACCTGGGAATTGTGCGGAACAACAAGAAATGTTTATTATTATTAACATTATTATAAATATATAATAGGAAACGATACGCCACGACGTCATATAACAAATGGTCCAATTCAATTATTATTAAAAACAAACAAAAGTAGAAAAAGAAAAACAAAACAAAAATGTATATTTACAAGCAAATCGAAAAATCGCATATATGATATATCTATATATATATATATTTAACAAATATATTTTTAATTAAAACTTTTTTCGTACACCTTTTAAAGCAAAAAACAAAAAAAAAAAAGAAGAAAAAACCTAATTCATAGACGAAATGAACCAATTTAAAATCAAATAGGATTTCACTACACAAGAACCTAAAGGCTTTAAAATACAAAATATATATTACTATATAGTATGCAATTTATTCTGAAACAACAGCAAATATATGAGCAACAAAATGATTTTTGTGCATTCCAAGTATATCATATATCTATATATTTAAAGAACAAAATAAAAATTGCAAGATTTGCAGAATTTGATTTTTAGTTGAACTTTAAGCGCGTTTAGTTTTAAACGAAATTTTTAAAATATATATAAATATATATCTATAAAGTTGTGCATGTTAATGCAAATAAAAGTTTATTAAATTAATTATATAAATTTACAATTTAAATTTGGTTGTTTTTTCCTCTTAAAACTATAAAATTTAAAACTTTCATCAGCTGTTTTTACTCGTTGCTTTAGCTGGGAACAGATTTATCGGCTTTGGCGCTGGGAACAGTTGTCGAATTTAGAGCATGCGCATTCAACTGTTCTCAGCGCGCAACAGGTGTAAGACTTGAAGTAGCTAAGTGAATTTTTGATGTCGCATTCACAGGTAAAACAAAAAAAAAAGCTTTAATTCAGTTGGTCCTAAACACATATATGTATGTAAAATAAAGTTTTCAATTGTGGGGGATCAAAAATCTGTATGTTTGTTAAAAGTTTCGTTGTGGTATATCAAATATTCCTAAATCGTATAGCTACAACTGAAATAAGTTTCAACTTGAACATTTAATTATAGCCGCCTTGTCTTAAACAAGTTTTTGGTTATACGAGTATGTGACGCCTGCCAGGAGGGTTAATTGGACAGGCAAAGATTATGAGCTGCTTCTTATTTAAATTTCCTTGACGAAAGTTTTGAGACAAGTTTCTCGAAAACTTTTAAACACTTTACAGCCACAAAAATGTGACCCCAAAAATGTTAAAGCGGCCGAACGGGCCGACTCTGGGCGGCAGGTAGGTGGATATTATGAGCTTCGTTCGCTCTGCACCTGGGCATAAAATAATGCGTGATGCTTGAAAGCAGACGATAGAAACATAAATTTATTTCAATTTTGTAGCTATTAAATTTTATTTAGTTTTAAATTAAAAAAGAAAAAATTTAACAAGTGTAAAAAAAGGTTTTCCCATTTATTTTGTCATTTGCAAAAGCAGATTCTTTTTTTCTGGTAAATAACACTATATATGGATTTGCATATAGTATTTGATAAATTTAGTTTCAATTGTTTTCATATTTTTGAATTTTGTTTTGTTTTGCTTAACTATGGGAGCCTTTACAAATGCCGACCGAAGTTTAAGCTCCAAATAAATCAAAAAGTGATTAGGTCTCAGCTTTGCTCGCTTCACCTGTAAGTTTTGCCTTTTTATGCCAGATGCTTTTCCGCTGTCCAGCTGTAAATTGTTTGTTGAGTGGCTGTGGCGAGGAAATACGGAAAGCGCAAGGTGAAAATGTGGCAAGAAAATTCAAAGTTGGCCATAAAACTTTAGCTATGGCTTCTGCCTTCTCTTGCCCCCTCTCGCCACCTCTTCCTCCTCTACCATCTTTCCTCTTCTGTTTGGCTTTGGTCAGCCGCGTTGATAAATGAGCTCGACTCGGCTCGCAGGCAGAGCCGTGGGGACGACAATCAAGAATAGCGCGGAAAATTATAAAGCCAGATTCCACAAGGCAAAAGAAAAGCAAAACAAAAGGCGTCAGCAGTTTCCTCACAATCTGCAACTTTTCTTCTCCATCTACTTCGACCTGAATTACGGCTCGTTCGTTTTCTTTTTATTTTATTTTTTAATTTTATTTGCATCTTGAAATGTGCCTATATAAATAGATTTATATGGTAAGTGTGTACGCAGATAATTTGCCTGATAAAATATGGTAACTATGTAGTTCATAAGTTTGAATTGAGGCTAGAAAAAAAATTACAAAAAGTTTCAAGAGCCACGCTTAAGAGAATTTATGGTTGCTCGAAATAGAATTAGAAAACTTAAACTGCAGCTGCAGCTGAAGAGCAGAACATGAAGTAACAAGTAATAAAGAGAAGGGCGTTGCGCTCTCTTAAAGTGTTAGTCAGCAATGTAGTTTCGAAATGCAAATACAACTTCAAGTGCTTTAATAACATTCTCATTGAGGAGAAAACAGTGAGCATAGCAGAGAACCAGCAAGTCTATACTGTGCTCTCTGCAGTCAATGCTTTTGATCCCGTTACCGGTTTAGGAGCAGTCAACCGAATGAGCTCAGGCAAGTGAATATAATGGTTGGTGTCTATGCTTAGAGCAGGCGTGAACCGAATAATTCTAATTAGTCAATGCGTGTCTGTCCTGTCGATCGGCCGAATTATTGGCGCTCAGTGTATGTGAAATTCAATTAGAGCATAGTTGAATTAACCCAAACGCGTCGATTTCGATGTTTTGTTTGCTGAGTTATTAATGCACACTATGCTCATAGTACAGTGATGTTTAATTTAAGGTGTCTTTAAAATTAATGTGTATTAAATTAATGAATTAGTGGTAGCACTTTCGATGTCCATACTTTTGCTCAGCACTCAGCTAAAGCGCTTAGGCCCGTCAGCGGAATGGTTTGTGTCTATGCTATTTTCGTATTAGTGTGACGGCTTAGCTTAAATGCCCGCTGCATAAATCAATTTAGGCAGTGCGTGCTTATCCTGATGGACAGCCACATCTACATTAAATTGAATTTTAGCAAAGTTAAATTAATTACAAGACCAAAGTCGTGATTCGTGTGAACTGAGTGTATTTGTTAGCCTACTGTACATTTTAGTACATGCGTTCGCCTTTTACTAAGTTTTATTCAGGGACTGAATAGTGAGCACTTTCTCTGCGGATAGCATGACGTGATTTATTCAGGGATAGTACACATGAATAAGAGAGCATACAGAAATATTTTATATCCCGTTATAGCAGTATCAGCTGAATAAGAGAGTCTGTTACTGCGTTTCTCCTGTCAATCGTTCCGCAGAGCGAGCACTGTGCAAATAGAGCAGCGTGTTAAAAAAGAATTAAATGTGTTTTGTTTCTTTTTTTCTTCACTGGAATTACCTAGCTCAGAACCTTTAAAGGTAAGTTTTATTGTTAAAATAAAATATTGACTCTTTTTACAGCAAAGTGACGACAATTCTTAATCCACATTCAGAGATAGCAAGAGAGAACAAGAGAGCATTGTAAAACTATTCTAATAAAAAATTTAAAGCCCTCTTGTGTTGCGTCGAATTCGCTTTATTTTCAGTGGAATCCAGTTTAACCTGGTAACCCGGGTAAATGAAACTTGTAGTTTTCCTTGAATTTTAAGATTCTTACTTAATACGCCTTTGGCTTTATTTACGCAAATATCTTTGTCTTTAACACAATTGAATGCTTAAAGTTAAAAATGCTTAGCAATCTAATTTCAAAAGCAATAACAAAGGGCATGACATATTATATCTAGAAATTGTATAAAATACGGTGTTGAAATGATGTGAGAAAACGTCGCAAACACTTCCACTGGTGTCTGTAATTTGTAATTTAACTTGAAAAGAGTGTGCAATTTACCTAGATGTTAATCTTATTATTCTATTATTAGACAGATAATGCTCCAACTGGATGGCCTCCCTGCTGATGCTCATGTCTTATGAATGGCCAATAGCAGAAATATGAGCCATTGATGGAAACTGTTGTAGACATGGCCATGCTTATACAATCCAGCTGCGGCGGACATGATTGCTGATGCGGAATATTCGCCTGCAGTGGAGTGAATAGAGATTAGATATACATATGTATGCACTTATGTATATGCATATGTATATAATACATATTTTCATATATAGGTAATTGATAGCTTACCGCTAAGCACATGCAGTTGTATGGAGACTGCTTCACTGTTTTCCGGCTCGCAGGTGTAGTTTCCGGAATGGCTCTTACGCACTATGGGTATGATTAGGCTGCCAATCTGTGTGTATCAAAATTCTCTATAGATCCACTCTACTCTCTTATAGTTATGGTTCTTACCGTATTGCGATTGTGCTCGGTGCTGCCAAAGATATTGCGATCGATTTGCGTATACCAGCCATTCTCGTTGCCGCTCGCCTCGTTCTCAGACATCACCTGTTGCTTCTCCCGATACCAGACAATATACTTTGGTGCCTCCAAGGTGCCACGCACAATGCAGTGCAGTTCCACTCGGCTGCCGGCCTTTACGAAACGCTGCTTATCGCCAATAAGTTCCGTTTTTGGTGCTGTGGATTGAGGTAAGTGAAAATCATTTCTCATCTATGGGATTTGTTGTTAATGTATGAATGAATTATTGCGATTAACGAGATAAAAGATAACAAGCAACTGTGCGCCTTGCTTCTGTCAATGTGTTACACATTTACAGGGAGTTCATGCTTAATCATGTCTGTAGTCAATCGATTGGACATTGTAGTTGGCTGACTTACTTATCACAAAGAGCTGCACTTTGGCACTCATTTTGGGCTCTGTGGCTAGCTGACATTCGTACCAGCCCATATCCTGCAGATTGACATATTTGATGAGCAACGTCCAGCCAAGGCTGTTGCTGCTGCCGCTGCTGCCATTGACAAATTCCATTAGGCTGCTGGTTAGGTTAGCATGGGAGGCTTGGAGTAGCGCTGCGAAGCGTGCATCATTGATAAATGTTGTGTGATCCACGGCTATGATATGTTCATCCCGTAAACGTATCCAGGACAGCGGCTTGTTTGAGTACTGATGCAGCTGTAATGGCCGAAAGGATATGGCATTTCAATCAAGATAATTAACTTGCCGCCCACTCACCTGGCACGGCAGGTAGGCATGCTGGCCGGCCTGCACAGTAACGTTACGAGATGGCAAACTGAGATGACGACGGGGCAGCTGCTCCCGCTCACGTGCCAGCTCCTTCTCTCGCCGCAGCTGCTGCTCCTTTTGTTCACTATCGTAGGCATGCAGACGCATATGTGGCTGTGGCTGTGACTGTGGCTGCTGCTTATTAAGAGTCGATTGCATGGAGTCCATGTCATCAATGTCCAGGCCCGCGGGGATTGGATTGTGGCCCAGCTGTGCTGACGTTGTCATCGTTGTCAGCGATGTCTGTGGCAAATCAGCAGCAATGAAATCCGGAAAAGGTGGCAAATACGTGGGTATCGAGAAGCCTTTTGTCAGTGTTGCCGTATCGGGTCGCTCACTCCAAGTATCCGCCGCTTGTTGTTCCGTGGTGCTGCTCTCTGGCTCAATGCCCAATTGATTGCCCGGCAAGGCTGTGGCAGCTGTGGCAGCCTCTGTTGCCCCATTCGTTGCCGCAATTAGCGATGAGTTGTCGCCAAGGGTCGTGGCACTTGCTGCCAGTGCTGCAAAATAGGTCAAGAATGAGCTCATGAATGAGATTTTCGTCTAATCAGCTCTCTGTTCCTTTGATTATACGTCAGTGACAGAGTGACAGAACGAGCGAGAGAGAGAGTGAAAGAGAAAGATAATCAAATTGCAAGCGCCTACTTTGTGCCGTATGCTGCAAATGATCCGGATTGCCAGACAAGTAGTCTATGCGGCGCATAGAATAGCTTATCTCTGAGGCTAAAATATTTCGTTTACTAAACTAAAAGAAACCAATCTGCAAATTTCTTTTTAGTTGATTTTATTTTTAAATATTTGTTACTTCAGTATTTGTGGACTTTAATTATTTTGCCTATTATTTATTTTTTAGGCGGTACGCTCGCTCTCTCCTTCTCTCCCTCTTTCTTTCCTAATCTAATAATGAATAGATATTTGTATAAATTGATAGATGTAGTTGATAAGAAATAACTTAATGTGCATTAATTCTCTCTTCTTCTAGTTTATATATCTATGTATATACATAAACATATATTTATATATAGATAAGTATATATATTTCAACATAATGCTCGCAGTTATGCTTATGCATATCGCATGCCCACAGCCGACCTCTGCTCAGTTGAATATCCGATTTCAGATCAGATGATTTAGTATATTATTGCCTGTTCAGCGATTCGCCAATGAATTGCAATGAGGGCGTGCGAACTAAAATGAAAATTAGTTTTGCTTGAACGCGTCCAAATGTAGCCCAAAGACAATGTTTTCGAATATATGAGTTGCGATATAACTCAAAGACATTAATTGGCAGCTTCAATTGGATTCCATTTAAATGTGCAACAAGATAAGATTAGCATAGGCTGATTACCAAATTTTCCATAATTAAATGCTTTGCAAATTAAGTGTATAAATACTTAAAGCTTTGATTATTTTCAGATTTATTAACCATAAATATATTTATATGTTTAAGTAAAACATCAGAGGAACTTTTAAAAACAAATTCCAAGCAAGCCACAGCATTGCGTTGAGGTAAACTTAAGCTGCAGTTGGCTGAACTTTTAGGAAAATCAGCAAGAAGAAGAAGAAGAAGGAGAAGAAGATCCAGGTACTAGGCAACCACAGTAAGCAAAACCACAAATCTGCTGAACGAGTATTGCTGGTATTGATGCCTTGAGGTTGTCGATGGCTTCGACTGTTGCGGTCAGCAGAGCTACATCTCAGAGTTTGTTGCAAAATATGGCAACAAATTCTTGCCGAAACGGTAAATTCACCTGAACTATTAGCCGTTGTTATCCGATAGGTCTTTGATCTGCTAGGGCAGCTTGGTTTGATTTTGTTACGCGTGTGGATCAATGTAGCAGTTGCCAGCCCTGGGTGGTGCAATCTGCAGCTGAGACCGCAACTTTGACTTGACATGACAGACTTCCACGCCTGTTGAGCGCCGTTGTCCAGGGCAACACGGATGCGACTTTTGCTCTTCCATATGCTGCTTCAAGTGCAGCTGGCGCTCTTTGCTTCAAATGCCCTTGCTGCTGATGGGCTGGAGAGTGCTTGACTATTGTCATGTGGCTGTGGCTGTGGCTGTGGTTGTGGCTGCCCTAGCCTCGACTTTGTTTTTGATAGTGTGAAATCGCGACACACACTGCACTCGACCTCAATGCTTGGCGGTGTCTGGGAGATCCTAGGTTGAGTAGCAGTATTCTCAAACTTCCTTGGTTGGCTGTGTGCTGCCAAGTGGCCAGCAAGTAGTACAAAATATATGAAATGTAGCTGATTTTAAGCTAAGTAAGTGCCCAGCCAAGTTTATTTTCCCTGTCTGCAGCTGCTGTCAAAATGTTGCATTTATTTTAATGCGCCTAATTTATCTGCTTGCTCTTTAAATTAATAAATTGATCCTGGCTGGGGGCACGTAGTTGATGTTGCCGCATCAAATAAACTTTGTTGCTCGAGGCCAATTTTCAATGGCGGAACGAAAAATGCCGCAGATGGCCCGCACAGAAAAGAGAAGAAAATAATACAAATAAAAAATATGTATAATAAAAAAAAAAAAAACACTCAAATCTCTCTTGCATTGTGCACGCTTCGGCTCCTCCAGGCTGACAATAACGCCCACTCGCGTCTACGCCTACTTTTGCGGCACGCACTGAGCTTTATACCATTTCCATTTTCATGCTTCCCATTGCCATTTTCCACGCAGTTTTGTATCCGTCTTGTATTTGAGCAGCCAGCTTTTCGCCTCGGGCACCAAATTTACGCAAAGCATAACAAATTATTGCTAAGTATTTATTATGTAAATAATGTAATACTAAATGAAAACACAAAGGCACACACACACACACACACAGCTGAAAATGCTCGCATAAGTTACAATTTTTTATGAAAACGCTTTAGTCGAGCTCGAAAGCATTTGCTGAAATAGTTTCGCCTTGAAATAGTTTGGCAGGACTAAGAGCGGCAGGAGTAGGAGCAGGAGCACGAGCAGCAGCTGCTGCCTCAAGCTGTTAGTCCACTAAGTGGCTTGGGCGTATATTATTATGATTATTATTATTATTACTATTAGTTTCATTTAGAGTTGTTTCAAAATGCTAACTTTCAAGAAAAAGCTGCTCAGCGTCCAATCGAATAATGAACAAATTTACAGAGAATTTCTGCAACTTTTTGCTGTAATCGCATTCGGGTTTTGTGGTGAGTTCAACTAGTTGTGCATTTTTATAAATATACATGCATGCGCACACATACATTTAGCATTGCAATTAAAAACTGTTCCTTTTTTGCTGGCCAACAAGTTTATAAAAATAATGTGAAATAAATTGAAACGAAAAGGGCAACAACAACAGCGGCAAACTAAAGCTTCAACAACATTTGCTGTGGTAATTAGTTGAACAGTTGTGTAAACCGCATAAACTGATTTCGGCTTTTCCGGTTTAACTCTATGATTACTTTACTTTGTTGTAGTTGTTGTTGTTTTTTTCCATTTAATTGGCAAAACGTTTAAAGAGTTTTATTTATCCCAAATGCTCTCAATGTCTGCGTCTGCTATATAAATTGCAAATTTCTTTACAATCATTAAACAAATGATTAGTGGAGCATTTGGCTGAGAGTGCGCCCATTCAGAGCGGCTAACAAAACAAAAACAAATTGTTTGGCTATAATTTAGGTCGTTCCGTTAAACTAAACGAGGAGCTGTTGGGTCCGGAGCGGCAGCTGGGATTAGGTGTTGCTTGTCTGTTTGTCCCCAAAAATACGGCTTTGTTATCAGTTTGCGCCTGGAATTACGCACTCAGTGGAGTGCAAAAGAATAGAACAGGCCTCGCCCATCGCCCTCCGCCCCTTGTCCAGGCTGAAATGTGAATATATTGCTTGCTTTTTATATGAAATGATCTATCGAATTGTTATATTGCTCGGAACGAAACGAATTAACGTTAACTGTTCGATAGAGGAACACGCAAAAGCACAGTTATAATTTCACTTCTGAATTTCGACATTTAGGTAATTTTAAATCTGTTTTCGCAAGCTGTTTGTTGGCCTTAAGACTGCCCAAACGGCTACGTACATAGTGTTAGCCTTTGACCTAATTGTGCTGGCTAGTGTTAATAAATAGCTACGCTGAGCCGGCCTAATTACGCGTTGAAGATTGTGTAATACTGCCCCAGCTTGTATACCATGCAAACGAGCTACTTTCTGTTTCATTTTGCTTGGGTAATTTGCTTTGTTATTAATTGCACATGACACAAACAAGTTGCTTGTTATTACTAAGTGTATGTGTCTGTGTGTGTGTGTGTATCTGTGGATGTCACTTGCATAAAATGTGTTTTTCTTACTTTATTTAAGAGCAGAAAAAACAAACTTTGCTTAAGTCTTGCATGTTCAGGCATCGACCTAATTGTGGTTCCATCCAAGTAGAGTTTGGCAAAAATGAAGAAAAAAAAACTTGTAATAAAATGCACAGAAAAATAAACTTGGAAATATGCAAAAAATATATAAATATGAGTCAGTTGCTCATATAAGTCAAAATTGCCAGATTTTTATTAAAAGTCTGAAATTTAAATGTTGTACATTCACAAACTTATGATTTGTTTGCATAAAGAGATAAATTAAAAGTAAAATTTGATAGAATTTGTGATACGAAACTTCATGAAAAATTTCCTTCAATTAAAGTTATCAAATAAACCTTTCAGAAATTTATATATTTTTACCAACATCATCCTTCTTATTTCTGTCTATTACATAACTTTTCCTAAATTCATTATACTCCCCCTTATAATTATTAATGGATTCATGAATATGATTACTTCAAATGTTCTTCCTTTTTTCGTTCCGCTCTTTGCCGTTATTATTGGTTTTAATTTATTTTTTTTTTTCGCATTTGCATCATTTTAAATATCCTAAGCTTGTTATTTTAGTATTTTTAAAAAGCTTAAATCAATATATATCTATTCATTTCTTCAGCTTGAGCACTTTCAATCAGTTGTCTTTGTTTTGACTTTAGCAGTTGAGGAGTTTTAGTAAATCTAAGCTAATCTCTGATTTACTATTTGTTTTAAAGCAGCTCTAGATTTTCCCAAATAATATTCTAGACAAATGCTGCTCATTTATTTCAATATTTATTTCACTCTTCTTAATGCTCTGCTAAGCTTTGGCTAGAGCAGCACATATTAGAAATGTTTGCTCACACTTATTTCATTATTATTTTTCACATTTTTTTTTGCAAAAACCTTTTCACGGTCGCTTGACCTAATGTTATTTTAATTTCCATGCACATGTCTTCACACGTTAGCCCTCTGCTCTTTTGGGTGAACGGAAGTATGCGATGTGGGTTAAAAAAAAAAGAAGGAAAATAAAAATGAAAATGAACAGCAGATGCCGCAGCAGCCGCATGGCGTGGCCACGAAAACGGGCCTCTGGCGACCTTATATGTATGTATATATGTATGCATATAAAGAGCTTTTCACCCAAAAAGCGACCACAGTTATATATATTTGGCTATAATATAACAGTCCAAGTTATAATCAATGCTGTTGCCACATTTGGCATACGCATATATTAGCACATTAATTAGAGGGCATAACTCGTCATTTATGGGGTCATAACACACATAAACACACACACGCACACAGACACACACACCAAATATTGGTTGGCTCACGCACTTGCCAACATAAGCACACATAACTAGTTCCATGCATAATCGAACAGCTCAAATGGCTGTCACACGCACCCAAACACTAACACACACACACACAGATACACATACTTAGATGCTTACACTAGTTGTAAGTCAAGAAGTCAATATGCTTAGTTCCGACTGCGTAACACAGCCATGTCCGACGGCGTTTAGGTTTGGTAAGGCATTTCGCAAAAAAAAAAGAAGAAGAAATAAAGAAAACATAAAGAAAACTTGACTGAAAAGTATGGGCTCGTAAGTTTCCCTATTCCTTTTCTTTCAAGCACACACACACACATACACACGCAGTCGCCGACCTACATCAACAGCTTTACCACATTTTTTATCAAGGGCCGCACGTTTTCATTGTTTGTTGCCCTGCCAAGTGGGGCAATGTGATTGGTTCGCCAAGTTTGTTGCATATACATATGTATATACATAATGTGTATTACATATACATGCCTGTTTTACTTGTCACTTCCTGCCCTCGTGACAGTAACAACAGAGCATTGGCAATGCAAGGGATTCTATATAGATATACATAGATATATATATAGTAGTCAATAGTATAAACATGCATTCGACAATTATTTCATATAATGTTAAATTACTATTTATAATAATAATATATTAATAATTTTTTTATTTTCTGTAAAATCAATTACATTTATATTTAGGCTATTTAATTGATATTTCATGATGCGAATGTGGGAAAAACTCGTACAAAATATTAGATTACTATTATATTCATTGATCATTATTATCTATTTTATAATTAGTCAAATGAATTTAAAAATTAAAATTGTTGACAAAGAATTATTTATTTAATTTGATATATTTGTGATATATTTTATGTCAATAGAAATTTCGAATGTTATGATTTTTGAGTTTCATCTTTAAATTCTTCCTCTAGCCGACTTTTATAGAGTATTCCGTGGCAGCTGAGTGGAAGTCGACGTGCTCTGTCGTGTTCTTTTGCCAAATGGCGGGGCGTTGCTTACATCGACATTTACTTTGATTTTTTCTCCCTTCGTTATTTTTTCTGCAATTATACGCCTTAAGTGCTAAGTGGGCGTGGCGCGCATTTAACTCTTAAAAATAGAAGAGACGAGTTCTTTGCTCACTCACCATGTGAACAGTGTATTCTGTCTAGCTATCTGCAGGACTTTCTGAACGCATTCTTGCGGTATTTAGGTATAGGAATTTAATATATACCATCTCAAGACTTAGATATCAAGGTGTGAGTCAAGAAAAACGAGAGGAAGTAGAATCGGACAAAAAAGTTCTTCGAGTTATTTAAGTGAATGTTGAGCTCATCTGTAGTTAGGGATATTTAGAAAATTGGTTTATTGTGTCGTGACAAATTGTATGGCTTTCGATTATTTAATGAACTTTATACTTTTCCTGTAATATGAACGAGTATTATGCAGTCGAGTACTCAAACGTTCTTATTTACTTTGATAGCTAAAAACTGTTGCCTACTTTTCAGAGAGCATTGACCAAAGATCGAGCAGTGCTTGCTGAGATATTTATTTCCTGTTATTGCAGCATTTACATGCACACACACACTTGTGCATAAACCCAAACATAAATATAAATATAAACATATATGGTGATATGTCAGTGGAAGCAGCTGTTGAGCTGATTGTTTTGCCGGCTGCTGTTGACACAGCATGAGACTATTATTTGGGCCTTGTCAGTCGATTGCCAGTTGCCAGTTGAGTGGCATTATTTTGTACAATTTTCCAGGAAACCAGTTATACATTGTTAGTTAATACAATACACAAGTAGAGGGGGCAATGATGAATCAATCAGTTGAGCCAGTCACAAAGTGAAGGATTCAAAGGGCATCCTGAACTGAGCGTGTGTGGAATCCATAATTAATATGGTGCAATTTGATTTGCATAATTTGTTTTGAGTACGACTGAAAGGTATTTTTGGTAAATGTTTCGAGTTCTAATTAAATCGGTTGCTGGCTTATGCAGAACTGCAAATTGCTTGGCCAGGGGCAGCTTTGGCAACTCATTTGCTCAGTTTAAGTCTAGTTTTCAGATTATAAATTAAATGTAAAACTCTATATATGTATATGGAAATGCTGTGTGTTTGTGGACGGGTAGATGTGCAGACGGACGGGACGGCATGAAATATTGTTTTCAGCCAGGGGAAATGAGAATTTACAAGCTCTGCACGAATTCGGCTAATGGCTGTATTAGCGACGTCAACTCTTTGGCTTCACTTAGCGCAGTTATTTAATTAAAGCTTGGCCCCGTCGGCCACGCCCCCCTTTCGAAGTCAGAGTCGGGGCGCGCTACTGCGACGCCCCATAAATAAATTAAATGTGACATTTGACCGCCATTTGTCTTGGCCGGCATTTACTTGGCAAATACTTGTATCTTATGTGTGCGCTGGCATAAAATATAGTTGGGAGTTTCTGCTAGCTCGTGCTGTAATTAACAAATGCAGGGGATGGGGGAGTCCCCCCCCCACCCTCTCTCTCTCTATGACTCTGACTCTGAAACTCACTTCAACTTTGACCTTGGCAGTTGCGCTGATTGATGGCCCAAGTGCTATTTGAGTGTCTATTTATATTTTGTATTCTGTTTGTTTCTTTTCATTGCTTTTTTCTGCTCTTCATTCACTTCATTCTATGGCTTCTATGAAATGATATAACAAGTGGGCGCATGGACACATGTGTTATTAATGATATCTGCCTTGGCCTTGGCAATAACTCAACTGAGATTGATTAGTCAGCGTGCTGTTGTTGCCAAATGAATACGAGTTACCAAACAACTGAATGAATATGAATTTAATTATTATTGCCCTGCGCTCTGCTAAATAATGCTACAACTTTAGAGATAATAGAGAAAAACGTTTACAAATATTGTAAAATCAAATATTTATGCGATGCCAATGAATAGCTTTTAACATAATTGCTCTTCTTAAACATCAACAAATGCAGAATGTTTTCAAATAACATGCCAATTTCCTGAAAATGCTTGTAAAGTTTATTTTTTCCTTTTTTTTTTTTTTTTTTGTGAATTATTGGCTCAGCAAACAATTAAGTGAAAATCTGCTGCCAAGTAGATAAAATCATAAAGCACTGAAATTTGTACTATCCACACACACACACACACACACATATTGCATAATCTCAATGGATTGTAATTTGAGCACGTAGCAAGGTACTCACAATCTCGCATTATCCGAAGTCCACCTGTGGAAACAAAGACGAAAACTTAATCAACGACCGGGCTCGGTTGGCTATGGATGCATATTGAACAGCTGGCATTGAGGATTCTTTCGTTTATGGCATGTGTTTCAATTAGACCAATGTGGGATAGAATGGACCAGGATATGCCAGTCATTTTCACAAAGGACTCTCGAGAAGGCAACACACTGTAGCTCGTTTTGTCCACAGTGCGTATGCGTAATGAATTTTTGCTGCATGTACAGAATGTAATATACAAAGTGACAGGTGTTTAGGAAATGTCAAGGTGTACATGTCCGTACGCATATATATATATGCGTGTGTATTTGCGTGTGTGTGTGTGAGTGGATAAATGAAAATTTGCTTAGCTCGATTAAATGAACACGCCAAACTAATAAAAATCGTGCAAACGAGTTGCCAACAGCAACGGCAACGGCAACGGCAACGGCAACAGTAATGGCAATGGCAACAGGAGATGGAACAACGACAATGCAGCCAGGCAAATCTCATCATGCAAATTAAATTTGGCAAATGCTTCCGACGCTTGCACAAAAGTGTGCGAAATTGAATTAAATATGCATGCAAATACAGTCAAACGGGTATAAACAAAAAAATAAAATAAAATAAAATAAGGAAACGAAGGGGGAAACATGTAGCCAAAAAAGTTTTTAGACCACATGTATGTGTATGCCGCATACATATTTATAAGCGTACATGTATTTCCATATATATTTGTATACACTTATGTATGTGTATGGGTCTATGCATTGCTAAGCACTAAGCAGCCACATTTGTATACATATCTGTGTGAGTGTGTGTGTGTGTGTTCCTGAAATTACATTCACCAACTGAAAGTTAGAAATTGAGAGTAATCTACTGGCGGTACTGTGTGCCTAGTTAGTCGACTTAATTGAGTTTAATTAACTCATCTGCAGCTTTATGTAGACAAAGTGGTTCATCTATTGTATGTATATATGAAGGTATGCATGCATGTATATATTTATGTATGTATGTATGTATTATTATGCACACTATTCATAGAGATTGACGATCTTAGTAATTGTAATCGTAAATTCAGCCATACAATTTGTAGATCATTCGTTATGGTTGTGTATGTAAGTCAATCAATGAATCAGACAGTGTAGTCAATCAATTTGGCAGAGTTAATAGGGTTTAATCATATCTAAACTATTTCTATTGCTGTTAATGTTTTATTCAATCAGACAGTCAATTCTCCTCGACCTTTAAGTCAATATCAATCAATCAGTTTGCTGTAGTAATCAATCTATACTCTGAGTATTTTATCAATTCACGCTTGCATCCAATTTGTTTGGACTTGGTCAATCATTTCATATACTATCTTAATAGCTGGCTTCTAGCTGGCTTTCTTAAAATAAGTTTGGATTCTTTGTATAATTTATAAGACATATAGAACTTGAAACTCAATATATAAATATATATGTATATATGTATATCTGCAAATTCTCCTTCTCTCTTTACATTTGATTATGTTTCGTGGAACAACATATTCGCGCTATAAAGTAGACGCTGTTTATACTTACGGTTGTGCATGCCACGAAAGCTGACAGCTGCCAGAAATGCCAGCAGTACGGTGCCAGCGCCCCAGACTCCAGATGGGGGGCTAAATCTGCTGGCTCTTCTGCCAGCGAGTTTGCCAAGCACCTTCTCCCCGGCGATTGCTCGCTCCCCTGCACGGCCCTCGCCTCCTTCGCCTCCTCCTCCGGCTGCTGCTGTCGCTCCTCTGGCTGCCCGTCGACAGCGCATTTTATTGCGTGAGAAGATTGGTGGCTGCTTTGTGTCACACCTTAGATATGTGTGGCTAATGTTGTTGTTGTTATTGTATCTTTTAAAAGTTGCTGTTGATGTTACTGTTGTTGTTGGTGCTGTTGGTGCTGTTCGTTTGTTGTTGCTTTTTATCCGAGATTCGTTAACTCAAGTACCTTGTCGTGCTGCACGGATTAAAATACACACACATATTTGCTATTTAACTTCTCTCTCTCCCTCTTGCTCTTCCTCTCTGTCTCTCTAATGGTTTCACATATATAATTATATTTTGAATGCAATCTGCAAGTTTCTTTCAGCTGCATTTGCATCGGATCGTACGTGACTCTGGCTCGCCTGCCTCAATGCGAATCCTCAACATATTTCGCATTTTATTGGGCAAAGTCAACCGCAAAGCAAAAGCGGAACAAAAAGACCAAAAGTAAAATAGTGCAAAACAAAGATGAAAAACGCTGTTAGACAAAACCACAAAACCAGCTTTTAGACCAACTTTCGCCCCAGTTGGTAAGCGCTGCTATCAAGGTTATGTGATGAATGGATATTTATTTTGGTTGCAGCCGAATGGCCGGCGAACTAACTGGCTCGAATTGCATTGCCTAGCTCTCGGGGCTGCAATACTCGAGCTGCATTGATTGCGAGTCAATAAATTGCCGAACCATCCCCAAGTTCTGTGGGCTCCAGAAATTGTGCCTGTATGCAAATAGCAGCTGCCAGCTCGCAGTGCAAACTAATTTCTTTTGAATTTTGCTGTGGCCAAATAAATATGTGTCTCAGCCTGATATTGGCCAGGTAAATGGAGACCTTAACACCCTCCGAGGACCAGCTGCTACCGCATCCAATTTAAACTTTCACAAAATTATCGTGTGGCTTGCCACACCCACAACGACACAATATGAAAATCAGAAAGCAGCTACGACTCGTTTCTATGATGCAAGAAACAAAAAACAAAAACAAAAACTGAAAAACAAAAATGAAAAAGTAAATACATGAAAATGTGGCAAGAACTTACACGTAAGCACTATCCTATCTTTGACCCCAATTGTTTGTCGTGAGGATGAGCAGTGATAAAATGCTGAAATATTCATTCTCTTTGTTGAGTCCCTATAAAGAAGTGATATTTATCTCAAATCTTTTGTTGTAAACTATGTGTGGATAGCCTTTGTAATAAAATTGTTTGAGATAATAATAATATTGCTTAGAGAATTTGTTGCTGGTATCTCGAATATGCAGAGTAAAAATGTTAAGGAAAGAGGAAAATATGGATATCCTTACAATTAAACAAAGAATGATGTGAGCCTTTTTTAGTCTTTTTATTAATATTCTTCTCTATTTCATCTGTAAGTATTTTCCAACAATATCTTTCAATTACTACTTACATAGGTACTGATATACTTCAAAATTATGATGAGACTAAATAATTTATCAAAATTATATAACCCAAGGTAACCCAACAGAAATTGATCAAATCTTAATATACTCCTTTACCTCAATAGCTAATAGATATTTCTTACAGGATTCTTATTGCTTAGTAAAAGATTATTAATGTCAGGTACCACTTTTCTTTTTATTATTTAAGTGTAAATTGATCTACAACCTGTGTCACACGCCTAATTGATTGGCTGTCAGTCAGTTTGCTCCGCTTTTCACTTATTCCTTTACTTTGCCTTTTTATTATACACATATATTTTTTACACCTTCTCGACGGCTTTGGTTCAGCGCGCCTTAATGAGTTTAAAATCTTCCTTTTCACACACCGAGCACACAATGCAAACACAATGGCGTGCTGAGCCTCAGAGCTCAGAGTCAAAAGTCGACTGGGATTATCTATCAATATATTACATCATATAATATAATGAATGTGGCGCACAGGTGCGCCATGGCACACGTGTGTCACCTACGCCAGCTACGCCTGGGGGCGACGGCTGCTGCTCCTCCAAATGATTTGCCACATTCTTCACGGCTTTCACAAATCGCACATCCTTCACTTGTTTTATTTCGTATTTTACTTTTTATTGAGAGCGACTGCAAGGACGCAATCAGCGTTTGAAGTGCTGTTTGACGTCTTTGACTTTAGATCTTCTATTATTATTCGTATTCGTATTGTTGTCGTTGTTGTCGTTGTTGTTATTGTTGCTGTTGTTGCTGTTGTTGCTTTTGTTATGTTGTTGCTGGCTTTGGCTGTATCCGTTTTAATGCTCAGCAATTCAAAATGTGATTTTGGTGTTGATTTATAAAGGAAGCAGTGCAATTCGCAGACACTCTTGAATTTGTTGTCTTGTATTCACACAGACACACCGACACACACACGTACACACGCAGTGATGAACACGCGGATTCACATTCATTTGCTGTTGCCACGCCCCACGCCCACTTCGTGCTATGTCATTTGTTGCCAAGTGCTTTCCGTTACAATTTCAGTTTTTTTTTTTTTAATTCTGAAAACTTTCGCACATTTCGCGCCTCGCCTTTAAATTTGATCAGCCTGGCGTAAGATTGCGTTCGGTTTTCGTGGTTTTCTGTCCGCCCACACACGTCCGCCACCGAGCCATGCAAATGTCCAACTAAATTGCCGCAGCAAAAGAAGTCGTGCCAATGCCCCATGCACACGTTTTAAAGTTTCATCTGATTTCTGATGTTTCGCGTTCCTTGTTGCCTGCTGCGGCTGCTGTTAAAGTTGCTCCTGCTCTTAGTTGATGTTTCATTTCTCACATTTGCTGCTGAGGCTGCTGATGCTGTTGTTGTAGTTGCTGTTGCTATTGCTCCTCGCATTAGATGTTTCATTTCTCATCCTTCGTTTCTCATTTCGTTTTCAGGCGCCGGCATTGCTCCCCTCTTCGGTCGTTTCATACCACTTCGTTTGTTTCGTTCTCAAAAGATGCTACTGTCGTTCGGCTTGCCCGACACTCGTCGGCGTTTCTCCTCATCTAATTCATGCCAATGTTTCATTTCTACAAGAGCTTCTCTTCGTGGAGGGGTAGTGGAAAATGATTGGGATGCTGTGAAACGCTGCGTGTTTCTGTTTGCAGCGCATGACTGTTCTCGGGGCTGTTAAATGGAATCATGTTAACCGTTTCAGCAATACAGACCGTTAAAACCCCTATTTCATTATTCGTTTGTAAATCTCAGCTAACTTTACATTTGTTGATATGATGTATTAGAGAAATCTGATAGGCTTATGGAATTGACATGAAAATCTTTAAAGTCTTGAAAGATATATCAAACCAAACCTATCAATTACCGGCTTGATTAATGTATAATATTCCTACTGAGGAAACTAACCTATATTCATGTATACCTAGTAGGCAGCCACTTAGCCAACTGTGTATATATGTTCATATAATATTCATAGCCACTAAAGTAATCCCCATATCAATATAACATAATTAACAAAAGACCCGATTCATGCTGGATTCGGCATCATCAGGGCCTCACTTAATATTAAGCAGCTGGGAAATCTTTTGATTCCCCTCAGTCTCGTTGCCTCTCGGCTGCTGCTTCTGACTTCTTCAGTTCTTTTGCATATTAAATGTGCATTTATTTCCGCAATTTGGTAAATTCAATTGTGTTCGCTGAGCAAACAAATACAACTTACACTTCATACATTTGTATGACAGTTATACGTATGCCATAATGGCCATGAGACAGCACAGGTGCGTATGTGTGCGCATGTGTGTGTGTGTAGTCGTGTGCGTCATGTGTTGTATGGATAGCCAGAGGTAGCATGTAGCACAGGTAGCGCACAAATAATTGAGTCTGCATCGTACAAAGGATTCTCGCCAGCTGTAAAAGGCGATTCGCATTGCCTCTGTGACTGCGAGGTAAAAACTGAACTACATCTTTTATTGAGAGACATGTGTTGTGAAACGCACAACAAAAGTTTGAATTGAAATGAGAAACAAGATAGCCAGTGCACCGAATATCCGATACCCTCGTCGTCTAGCTCTCAAGCCTTCCCAAAACCTGGCCCAGACACGCGGTAAGCAAATCCCGTCGACTGTTTTTTAATGCTCCCCGCTTGCTTCTGCTTTTGCTGTGCATAATGAAGCCGTTTTGCCAGCTGCTCTTTGCTGCAATAAAATATATCACTTGATTGCCGCTTAAAAGTCAAGTGGCGCGCGATTAAAAATAAAGCCCTCGAAATAGGCAGCAACAGCAGCAGCAGCAGCAGCAGCAAATTGAAAAGAGCAACTGCACGGCGGATCCTGCATCGTCAGGCTCATCCCCGCGCCTCTTCAGCCGGCTGACACATTTTGAAGGAGTCTCAGCGCTAGACTGGCTTGCACGAACTCCATGTCGACATCATTAAAAAGTATTTAAATAGTGCTCGTTGCACGCTGCGTATACGCAATGAGAAGTCTTTTGATGGGCTGCAGGTGCTGCAGGCGCAGTGACTGACGTCAATAAATAAAGCAGCTCCATTTGCATAAACCATCTTTCCAGATGTCCAATTGATAGCCCACTTTCAGCTGCAGCCATACCCCGAGTGCTGTATGTAAATTTAATTAAAAAGGATTTCATACTCTTTTATTATTCACGCAGCATCCCTCACTCTGCCTCTCTCTCACTCTCTCTCCCTCTCCCAAGGCTCTTAGCAATTTAGTTGAATTTTAGAGAGTTTCAATAATAGCCCAGGGCAGTGTCTAAGCAAACAGTTGGCCAAATATTTGGGCCAATGCCAGAGTTGGCAAACAAAGACTAAAACAGATGCAGTCTAATGTGTAGGCAGGCAGTAAATTTATAAGACAAATACAAATATATATATGTGTGTGTGGCCATTGCGCTGCCCGGAAATATTTGCAACATTTAAATATTGCATAAAATATAAATATTGCGACAAGTTTGTTTTGCACTTACTGGCAGCAAAGTTCGAGAGGACTCACTTGATACGAGTCCTGCAGCAGGCAGACAATTAAGAACTTGAAGCTGCAACTGAAACTGAAGCAGAAGTAGAAGCAGCATCAACCGAGTTGCAGGCTTGACATTTAATACTATATAATTGGAGCTTATTTTTACAAACTCACAAATTCACTAGAGAATATTTATTTACACTTTTGTTTTTACAAGCAAATGAAATACAACAAGAAATTGTTAGTCTGTAATATGCTTTAGTCTTATAGTAATGCGAATTCCCATTTTCCCCACTCACCCAACAAAATATTCAATAATTTATTTTTCTTTTGAATATTTTCAAGCTTACAAAAAGAAAATTTTCAGTCTCATTCAGCTTTAATTAAATAAACTGAATTGACCGATTTTTCATATATTTAAATTTTTGTATCATATATTTAAATTGTTTCAATCAGTTTGAATTAAACTAGCATAATCTAATCATTTTTTTTATTTTATTTAAAATATTGTTTTTTTACTGTTTATTAAAATTTGTTTCACTCGGTTCGAATTAAATAATTTCAATGAAAACATATGTATTTTAAATATTTAAATGGGTTTCCATAACTTTAAATTGTATTGAGTTAACTTCAATTAAAATACGTTTTATATACTTAAATAAAAAAAATAAAAATAAATATATATATATATAATTTTCAATTGTTTCACTCAGTTGTAAATGATTAATTTAATTTTTCATAGATATATGTAAATCATTTTACCACAACTTTAAATTATATTTTTTTAATAATTTTTTTATTTATTTAAATTGCACTTTCATTGCATATTAAAATTATTTCCCTCAGTTCTCATTGAATTATTTCAATGTCAATATTTGTTCATGTATTTCAAATGTAATTCATCTGTATAAATATATTTAAATAAACTATATAATGTATATCAAATATGATTTATTAAGCTCCACGAGTACATCAACTCTGATTTCTGTTACTCTTCCGAAACTTTGTTAGCATTGAGTACAGATATTAGAAAGTATCCTTGCTGACTACAAATATTCAAGAGTTGGATTTTTGTTGCACTTTCGACAGTCGGAATAATCGATACGAAATGCTCTGCAGTTGATATTGGAGTGGTCAACGATTCACCTCATTGTTGCAGACAGACAAATACAGTAAACAGAAAACCAATTGGAGTAGCATACCCCATTCGATGTGTTTATTTTCTAGTTTTTCCATGCTTCAAGCGGACGACACTCAAGTGTCAGCAATGTTTTCACAAAGTTGGGCAGTTGATAAAAACTTTGGCTCCTTGCAATGCTCTGTTTGCGCGCGAGTGTTGAAGCGTGTGCCCTGATTGAATCCTTGAGTTTTGACCTGCTTACCCACACATACATACATATGTGCATGTATGTGCATGAAACATACTTCATACATATACACATACATATATGAGATATGTGTGCGCTTGTATGCTATGCATTCACCCCTTGCCGACATTCCCCATTTGCCTAAGATCTTTGCATTTCAAATTTCCACGACGCTCGCTGAGAGGCTAAGCAAATAGCATTGAGTGCCAAAATGAGTTGAGACAATCGCAGAGGGCTCAAACCAAAGTGGTTCGAGGCGCAGTCTGATTAAAGGTGTGCAACATGTTTCCATTTGAAATTTAAAACAGCTTTCTGTGGCCGTTGCCAATCAAATGCTGAAGTTGCGGAAATTGTGGCTGGCTTTTGTTGATGCTGATTTAAGCTGCTGATTGGGTTGCTTTGTGTGCCAATGAAAGCCATTCACACATACGCCCGCACACACACACAGTATACAGTAACGATACAGCAGGTTATCATAAATACGGCTTGGGCGCCTTCCCGTTGGGGAGTCTCCGAGTATTAGAGGGCCATTTGTGGCAGGGCACGCTCTAAGTGAGTTGTGGCCAAGTGTTGAGCGTTACGTGGCTAAATCAAACAGACACACACACACACACAGAACACACACGTGCATATATAGATATATATTCACACTTACATTGGTTAAAGCACTTGACTTGAAGCTTTGGTTGATTTAGGATGCGTTGATTTTAAAGGCAGCCGCTGCTGCTAGTTTCTGTTTACGATGGCCACTTCAGATTTGTTGTTTTGTATATATAATATATATATGGCTGCACAATAATAGCACATATATTTGACGTACACATACATATATAAGTAGCCCAAAATAACGCTACTTGTGTTTAAGCTGCTCAGCTGGTAAACCTGCACGATGGAAAATACTCTTAAATGGCTTACTTGCTTATGAGTGGGCGAAGGTTCTCGATTGCTGAAGACCATCAAATTGATATGTAAAGCTTTCCTTTAATTATACAAAATTCATTGAAATGTGCTTTAATGTTTTTCCATGTGTAAGCGCTGAAGTGAGAAATAATTGTTAAACTGAATAATGAGTGAGTGCAACATATGTATGTATATATGTATGTATGTTTATTTGTTTGGCTTTATGACTGCCCGACTTGGACTTGGATTTAAATATACAAGTATGCATATACATATACACATGTGCATATATGTATATAATTGACTACATGGATTCTCGCCAGTGATTCGCATTGCCTCTCTGACTGCGAGGTAAAAACTAAGCTACATCTCTTATTGAGAGACATGTGTTGTGAAACGCACAACAAAAGTTGCAATTGAAGCAAGAAATGAGATACCCAGTGCACCGAATATCCGATACCCTCGTCGTCTCGGCTCTCAGGCCTTCCCACAACCTGGCCCTGCCACGCGGTAAGCAAATTCCGTCAACTGTTTTTTAATGCTCCCCGCTTGCTTCTGCTTTTACTGTGCATAATGAAACCCTTTTCCAGCCGCTCTCTGCTGCAATAAAATATGCGCTTGCACAGTCACTTGATAGCCGCTTAAAAGCCCTCAAATTAGGCAGCAGCAAATTGAAATTAGAAACTGCACAGCATTCTCGTACCTCTTCAGCCGGCTGCCATATTTTGAAGGGGTCTTATTTATGACATTACTCTCATTTGATGGCACACTACTATTATTGATAAAAAGTTATAGTTGTTGAATTTTATACCCTGAACACATTGAAAATGGGAAATCAGGGTATAATGGTTATGTTGAAATATATGTATGTAACAGACAGAACAAAGTACAGACCCCACAAAGTATATATATTCTTGATCAGGGCGACGAGCTGAGTCGATTTAGCCCTGTCCGTCTGTCTGTCTGTCCGTCCGTCCGTACGTCCGTATGTCCGTATGTTTGAACGCGTCGATCTTA